CTCCCTCCCAGCGCCACCACTACCTGCCCTGAGCGCAGCCCTGACACAGCCTCCCCACTGAGATAAACCCAGTGCAACTTCGGCCCCAGCCCACAGCAGCAGCCTGCCCCACCCCATACACAGAGCCAGGGGCACACCCCCCCATGCCCTCCCGGAGTGCATGCAGCAGCGGGAGCTGCCACCCCTCCCTGCACCACGGCTCCATCCCATGCCCTGCCCCACCCTGGCTGGGCAGCATCTGCCCCTTCCCCAGCCCCGGTCCCACTCCTTTCCTCACTGCTGGGACATCAATCTGCTCCCCCCACCCCCCATGCACCTTCCATCCCCCTTCACCCCTTCCCCCACAACAGACTTAGCAGCTGGACCCAGCTTCTTTCCACACTGCCAGGCTGCATTCCTGATTGCCTGCATATGCGCAGCTGCAGCACAGCAAGGGGGCATTTATCAGCCACATGAGTCAAAAAAGCTGATTGCCAGTATTCTCAATTTTCCTCACATTGGTGCTGATCTAATATGGGATTGATGTATCAGTGCACCTCTACTTTAAGAAGAAGGTACTCACTAAAGCCCTCTAATTCCACTCCACAAGTCAGATAGCAAATCTTCTTTGCACACTGTTGCCACTTGCCAGGTAAATCTGCTCTGCTGGGATTCCAGGGCGACAGCTAAACAGCCCCTGTGATGCTGGGGGACTGAGAGTTGAATCTGGAGGGATCTGGGACAGAAGTTCAATAAACCAAGATAACCAGATCAGTTCAGTCTGATGCTACATCCATCCAGCTTTATCTTAAACCAGTTTTGGCCATTTTGAAAGCGGTTTAGGTGCACTGAACTTCTGTTGTGTTATTAATTTCAACCAATTTCCAGACAAGGTCCTTTGGATAAATCCAGTATCTTTTATTAGACCAACTCAGATAGTCGGAAAAATTCTTCTTAGCAAGGTTTTGGGCACAAATGCCCTCAGACCATCTGTAGATGCTTCCTCAGCCTGATGGAGGGCATTTGTGCCCAAAAGAACCATAGAAGTCGGGTCGGGAGGGACCTTGCAGATCTTCAAGTCCGACCCCCTGCCTGGGCAGAAGAAAAACTGGGCTCAAATGATCCCAGCTAGGCAGGCATCAAGCCTCCTCTTAAAGACCCCCAGGGTAGGAGCCAGCACCACTTCCCTTGGAAGCTGGTTCCAGATCCTAGCCGCCCTAACTGTGAAGTAGTTCTTACAGATGTCTAATCTAAACCTACGCTCCAACAACTTGTGGCCGTTATTCCTTGTTATGCCAGGGGGCGCTAGGGGAAACAAGGTCTCTCCCAAACCCTTCTGGTCCCCCCTAGTGAGTTTATAGACGGCCACCAGGTCCCCCCTCAGCCTTCACTTGTGGAGGCTGAACAGGTTCAGGTCCCACAGTCTCTCATTGTAGGATCTGCCCTGTAGACCCCAGATCATGCCGGTGGCCCTCCTCTGGACCCTCTCAATGCTGTCCACATCCCTCCTGAAGTGGGGTGCACAAAGCTTGCCAAGAAGAATTTTTCCAACTATCTGAGTTGGTCTAATAAAAGATACTGGATTTATCCAAAGGACCTTGTCTGCCTATGTCCTTAGACCAACACGGCTGCAACCTACACCCCTGAAACTGATTGCCAGTCATTTATACCAGTTCATGTGTAACTTCTTGTCACGTTATAGCTAGGGACAGAACAGAATAAGAAACAGAACATGATACTTCCCTATGAAACAAAGCAACCTCCTACCAAATGGGATGACTGTCATTTCCTATACGAGACAGAGGTGGCTGCTAACAGGCAAGCTGGCTCAGCAATTAGGCGCTTGTGTAGTTCCCATACGTCCTTCCTGTCAATCCTAGTACTGCCAAAAAGGATACCTTTCCCTTCCCCATTCCCGAACCCAGACAACTGTCAAGAATGACAGGAAGCTATAACAAAAAAGAAAGAAAAAGCCACTGTCTGAAGAGATAACTGGGAAGGAACAAAGAGGGGAAAAAAGTGAGGAAAATGCAATAATGCCATAATAAAGTTCTTAAACAGAGATAAGGAAGTTGGTACTCCTCTCATTTTAAGGGAGAAAGCCCTATTTTTTAGGGAGCAAGAAGTGGTAGCTGCATAACTGAAAAAAATACATAGTGCTACATTCACTTTGCGTTTGGAGTCATGCCAGGAATGAATCTGGACCATTGCATGATTCTGGTTTAGGTTTCCATAGGGAGATGATATAGGAGAAAATACACAGAGCAGCAAGGGTGCTCCCAGTTCAGCCTGAATCCAAACTGAGTTCAGGAACACCCCAGTTGATTCAACAGGAGTACTGAATATAAAGCCCCAGGAAGGCAGTCTTACAGTTAAAGTATCTGACAGACCAAGGTTTTACTTCCAGTTTGACCAACGACAAAATGCATCCCCGGATGTCACTTTCCCACTCATAAAACAGGGCCAATGACTGCATTGCTGGGGGCACAGTACATCTTCATAATCCCATGCTAGCAAATCCTCCAAGATTTTTTTGGTGATGTTATTGATATGCACAATATTATAGAAAGAATGCTGCTTCTTAGCATGAGGGGAAGGATTAAAGACTAAAAAAAGTAATGGAACAAATAGGAAATTCCCAATATAAACAGAATCAGGCTTTGGGTGATAAGGCATCTCCTGTTTACACACCCAGCAAGTCAGTTAGTGGTGCATTGTCTGATAATCATTGCTTCTTGGCCTGGGTGGGGACTTGGTCATGTAAATAGAGCACCTTTATGGATGGTGCTTTTTAAGTAAGAAAGCCCCAAGTGGTTTAGGACTTTTTAAGTTTCTTTACCAGATTTCCCCTTCTTTGAGCTCCCCATCATCACCACTGCTTTTTCTGGTTGCTAATAAGGAACACTGTTGCAGAACTCAGTGAAAATGGGAGTCCATGGGGTTTTTTTTTGTTTTTTTTTAAATCTCCCTGCTAACCAGTGTAAAACTGCATCTCTCAAGTGGTGCCACTTTGCAGTGTCTGATCAGCACCCAGAGGTGCTGTGACCTCAGCTTAAAAGTAGACTGAAGGGTCAGACATAGCCATAAAGTGTTCATAAACATTCGCAAAACATTAACTCTAAAACCAAGGGACACAGTCAAGAAACTGTTAAGCAGTCATCTCATTCTGGCAAAGGTGCAAGAATTGTGCGTCATCTGAACTGCCAACCTACAACAAAACCGCAACAGCTTGCACTGTTTTTCAGTATGATAACTAGCTACAAGAGCTTCCCCAGGCATCTCAGGGGGAGGGAATACATGTGAAAAATAAGCAGCTAAATTGAACAAAAGACATCCCCCCCCCAATTCCTATTATTTCTCCCGGGAATGGGGGTGGCTCATCATAAGTTAGGCAGTAACACTATCCTGGTGACATCCATAAATGTACGCATGTAAGAAATGCAAGGATGTGACCAACTGCTGACTTAAACCAAGTTGTGTATATTGACTATTCTCCTCCCTAATTGCTGGAGCCCTCTGGGATGCCCTTTCTGGACAGACACAGGGAAGACAGCTTGTTTCCAAATAGTAGGAAAAAATATTTCCCAACTTGCACTGACTACAGAATACAACTTAAAAACCAACAAACCCAAACCCTTCTTGAACCTGCAGATGAGGCAAAGACTTTTTCTGAGCGGTGGGGTGTGGTCCCTGCAAAATTCTCTAGGCAGGGGGAGAGAGAGACAAATGGGAAGAGTGTGGGAAGTAGCTCCAACGGCCAATTCTTTTAAGACACCATCACCTGCCTACTTTATCCACCCAGCAAGTTTTAACCCCCACCCCCTCCAAGCTGAAAACTGTTCCCGGCTAAGGCAAGGAAGGCTGGCATCTGAGAGCCTCTGAGAACTACATCTTCAAAGCAGCAATATGTAGCAACGTCAACCACAACAACAGACTGTGTCACTTAGGCTGCAGTCAGTCTCTCTCATTCCACCCATTTTCCAAAACACAGAAGAATCCTAGCACCGGTTAAGAGTATATTTTAGGAGCGCCTTTTCACATTTCTCATTGCTTTGAGCCATTTCCATGTGTTGTCCAGAACCAAGTGTGCTGCCTGTATTAAAAAGTTTGGCAAAAATCAAGTGGTCTTGAATATAAAAGCCTGTATACATGGCACACAGTTAAAGGGCACAGTTCTCATTCTCTCTTGACATGACAAAAAGACCAGAAGAGATCAACTTTCAACCCCAAAGCCCTGGCCTCCACTACATTTTCATATATTTTGGTAATTAATGAGTCTCAACTTTCAAATCAGTTAGAACCTAAGGGAGGGCACAAAAAAAACCCAAAACACATACCACAGCACTCACAAAAATAAAACCTTTCCAAGGGACTTAAATCTCAATTATTACATAGCTGCAGACCTGCATATTGAACACAGGGGCATGCCCCATCAACCTAGCAGGCAAACAAGTAGGCTGGCTCCCAAGCATTGTTTTTTTCCCCAATGCAGCTCACAGGTGGTTTATTAAGTTTGCAGAGCATCTGCACACGCAGCAAACCAAACACATTTGCCATTTCAAAAGAAAGAGGAGGGTGGTACAAATTGATTCAATTATTATAATCAGTTATTGTAGCAGTGGCTTGGGGGAGGGGAAGAGATGGCTCCCAGCTTTGGATTTCTGAGCAAGCTAGGCTCTGTTATCAATGCAACACCCATTTTTGGGGTGAGCCAATCCTGCCTCCCCGCTCCATCTTCTCCACCTAAAGGTTGTTGCTGTTCCCTCCCCAGATCTCATGCCCCAGAGCTGCTAGAGGGAAAGGAGAAAGCTCTGTGTCTCTCTCCTGCAGAGGATGGGAAAGTCAGCTCCTTTCTGAGCCTGCTGCATTATTTTGGTGGCAATCTGACACCAGCCAGGAGCAAGAGAGAGCAAGCTGAAAGATAACAGTCACCTTCCTTTCCTTCTATCCCCCCACCCCCCTTTCGTTTTCCCCAGCCATTAAATCACATGCAAAGCTGCACCCCAAGCAAATGCACTCACCCAGAAAATAAAATTGAAGACAAACAGCAGATATTTGATGCACTTGGTACAGCCTTCCACTCCCATTGCTAAAAATTTCTGCGAGCAAAGCTGCCTGCACCCTGTGGCCTGATAAATCAGCGCGTGAGATGCAGCTGCTGCTCTTGCAGAGGCTGATCACAGCTTCTCTTCTTCGAGCTAGAGCACAACATAGGCAGAAAACTGGGCTGCTTCTCTGGCTCCTCCTGCTCGAGTGACACCCCCTCCCTGAGATCCTCCCACCCAGGCACAGGCCATCTTAAAAAGGAAGCTACCGCCTCCTGGGGGTATCTACCCCTCATTTCCCTGCAGCCTGTGCATCTGTTCTCATCCATAAAACAGCGATAGTGACAACCACAGTGAATGAACTGAAACTGTAAACCCCCAAATTGAGGCTAGGACTAAGAGACTACGACTGGATTAGGGAAAGGACTGTGAATGGGTGCACAGGTGTATTTATTGTAACGGGTGTGGGGGCTTTAAATATGGTTTAAGGTGTGTGAAGAAAAGCTTGTCCTGGATGCTGCATCTATCAATACATTAAAAAAAATAGTCTTTCCTGATCCATACCCCACAGACACAGAAAGGGAGAGGAGCTACCATCCAGACAGCACTTGCTTTTTTCAAGTCACCCAGCAAACATGAGCAGAGAAGGCTTATGGAAAAGTGGTCTCCACCAAAAGACCCCTCAGACTATAAGCAGCTACAGAAAAAAGTAAAATACTGATGCTCTGGTGGATAAAGGTTGTAGCCATGCTGGTGTACAAAAACAAGCAGTCAGTGTGCTAGAGGCAATATTTTTATTAGACCAACTAGATTTTTATTTTTTTTGCAACTTAGCTGGTCTAATAAAAGATATCACCTTTAGCACACTGACTGCTTGATGTTTTGATGGTTCTCAACCAGGGTGCCATGGCACCTTGGCTGCTGCTAGATTGGGGTGGGCAATTATTTTAGCTGGCAGACCACTTAACGAGTTCTGGTAAACCGTGCAGGACCGTACACACAAAATATTTTGGGTGATCTCATTTCAACAAGTTATAGGTAAAAAAAATTTAAAAATTAGATACTAAAAATCATACATCTATCATAACACATTTAAATTTTATTTAAAAAAATATGTTTTATCCTGATTTATGTGTTTTTGAGTAGAGAAACAGTTGCATAATAGTTCAAAATAAAGTCTTACTTCTGTATATTGTATGGTGGTGCTCACGTGGGTTGGGGGGAGAGACTGCCTGCACATTAAGTCCCAGGACCCAGGCAGAAGTGGGGGGATGGAGGGAGTGGGGAGCAGGGGGTACATGCAAAAGAGCTTATCTGGGCTGTGTGGTGCAAGGGTGATCTCCACCCCTCCCATCCAGCCCATGGCTCTCCCAGCTGTGCTCCTTATGAAGTCCAGCCCCGCTCACTCTTGCCTAGGGCCAGGGCCTATCAAGTGGGGGGGCCAGGAGGGCCATTTGGCCCGGGCCTCTCATTCACAGAGGGCCTCAAATTTAGACTTTTGAAACTATCTCCAGATAAGGTTATACATACAGACACTGACAAGGTTGAAAGAAGACGACATTCATCATACAACTTTAAACTTGTGTCCCATTACCGGGCCATACTGCCTGTAGTGCACTATGAATTAATATATTTTTAATATACCAGGAGCCTCAAAAAACAAAAGTGGCCCGGGCCTCTCTCGACCTCTGAGAGGGCCTGCCCTGGGCAGCCTATGCTGCACTCCTTTCTGCACCTGTTGACCACCCCAGTCCTGGCCAGCATGCACAGCTTCCCAGCAGGGCTTCTCCTGATGTGCCTGCAGCTACCCAGGTATGCTCAGTGCCCCCCTAGCCCCAGGGGCTTCTCCTCCTCCTGCCCCTGTGGCACTGCTCCAGGCAGCAAGTAATGCAGAGAAGTGGCTATGGTAAGTGTGGGGACACATGTTTGGAACCACACACCCAGCCAGACAGTGGCAAAGCTGCAGCTGGGCATCGCTTGCCCCAGTGCACAGAGCTCCAGCTCCTAGCTGCCGTCCACCCACTCCACTCACCTGACAAGATAAGCAGGCGCCTATGGGTGGCCGAGCGGGTGGAAGGCACCCAGGAGTTGGAGTCCCATATGCTGAGGCAGGAGCTGCCCGACTGCAGCTTCCCCACACCTGGCTGGGCATGTGGTGCTTAGCACGCAACTCCACCCAGCACAGCCACCACCCTTCCACATGCTACCTGCTGCCCAGAGCGCTGCAGCAGGGGCAGCAGGAGGAGAAAAAGCCACTGGAGGCATAGGGATCTGAGCAGTACCCACACAGCTGCAGCCACTCAGGGAGCAGCCCTGCTAGGAAGCAGTGTGCACTGACTAGGGGCCAGGGCCATCGATGGGCACGGGCAGGAGTGCAGTGCAGGCTGACCCAAGTGGGAGTGGACAGAGCTTGGCACCATGTGCAACACTGTGGAGGCAGCTGTGAGCCAAATGCAATCAACTGGTGGGTGCCCACCTTTTGGCTGGATCCAATCAGTTGATGAGATGGATCTGGCCCCCGGGCCGCATTTTGCCTACCTCTGTGCTAGATCATTTTAAGGGTGCTGCAAACACCTATGCATGATTCATAGATAATCCCAGAGATTTCAAAGAGGAATGCATTGTGTCAAAAACATTCTGACCTGTCCTGTTGTTTCTGAGTTCTTTGCAACAAAATTGCTCTAGTTATTTTCCCATAGTCAAAAAACGACTGAAAAAGTTAAGAGAGGGCATTTTTGAGGGATGCCTTGAGTCTAACCAGAGGTGCCTTGCATTTTAAAAAGGCTGAGAACCCCTGTTTCAGTGGATCAAGTATCTGTCTCCACTGAATTCAACAACAGAGGACCTATTTGCCATTGAATTCTGTAATGTTTAGGGCTGCACCCAATTTTGCGTAACCAGCTTGGATTCAGATTCTATCCAGCAGTTGCAGATTTGGAAAAGCATATGTAAGTTATTTTTTTGCCCCTCATCTACGTCATACACCTTGTAGGAAGCCCTGATCTTGCCAACACTTCTGCCTCCACTTAACTTTCTTACCATGAACAGCAGCACTGAAACAGTGGCCTTGTGTATGGTAGCAAACTAAAGTATACAAGTGTTTACGGATTCTGAATTTTAAGATGTCCACCAAAGAAATGCATGTCAGGTGTGCATGAAATTCAGAGATGTATTTGGTAGCCATGTTGGTCTGAGACAAAAAGAAATGCAAAATTCTAAAACTCTTGGTTCAGAGATGATACCTTTTATTAGACCAACTAAGAAATCGCAAAAAATTATCTTTCTTTGGCAGCTTTGTGCCCTTCCTCAGGCCGAGGGAAAATTAAAGAAGGTAAAAAGTCCCCTTAGGTAAAAAATAAACTTCATTTTGCACAGAAGAAGCTAAAAGTGGATGCATGTTCCTCTGGGTCCATAAGAGTTCCTTTGTGTGAGTTGCTTTCTGTTGTGCAGATAAGGCAGTTTGATGTTCTAGCGCATGAGGAAAGAAGAAAACCATGGGTGACTTGTGCCTCCTGAGTCTGGGGGAGCACCAAGCGACAATTGCCGACCAGGGGGATGGGATCCCCCAGCAGCTGATTGCTGACTGGGGAGAGAGGGGGTCCCCCAGTGGTTGACACTGGAAGCACCATAGCAAAACCTAAAGTGCCACAGGTGCTTCTCTCAGCACCCCCACTCCCTGGCCCGCAGCAGACTTGGGGGGGGGGGGGGGGCACCAGCTGGTGCTTCTCTTGGCACCTGCACTCCCTGGCTGGCAAGGGCCAATCTCAGGGGGGCATGTGACCCCTACCCCATGCCTCCCCTACACACTGCCCATGAAGAAAAGCAACACTCAAGCAAAATAAATACTGTAAAATTTCACAAATGTTTGCCTGAAACCAAGTTCTAATCCTTTTTTTCTTGCCATGTAAAATGTATTATTTGCTCATTGTGACAAGGTGTCTTTCCCGGGGTGGCCGTGAAGCCCCTGGAGTCCCCTCAACCTTCACTTTCTGTGGGCAATCATCCCCCCTTCAGTCGCTCACCACACCTTAATATCTTTTACTTTTGTATGAGGAAGGCTGCAGCAGGGCATCCTAAATTGCTCTCTCAAATGACCACCAGATTCCTGTGGTGCCTGCTTTATGGGCTAATTGCATGGTTCCATTCTGCCCCTACACCATACCCCATGCTTCACTCACGGATGTCATCTTCCACTTAGACCCTCCTCTGGGCTCCTGGACTTTCATTGGTCCCACACTCTTAGACCCTTAACAAACTCCTGGACCCCCACTGGTCCCACATTTGTAGCCTCTTAATCTGGGTTCGAGACCCCTCCCTGGGTCCCCAAGAACCTCCTCCTCCCCTTAGCTCTGCCCCAGACTGCACTCTCCTTGCTGACATTCCGGAGCCGCAGTCATCCTGCTCAGTAGATGCTTCCTCAGCAGTCTCCTAGATGTTACTGCTGGCTCTACTCAGGTCTGGGCTTATATCCTACCTTAGCCTAGCCTTCCTCCAGGCTCAGATGACTCCATAATCAACCCTGGCACCGGCAGGCTGCCTCAGCACTATCATGCATGCTAGGCTACTGGCAGGAGCACCAAGCCTCCTGCCACACTCCTGTCTGATCATATCACTCATTCTTAGGCTGAGGAGTACAGTACCTGGGATGATATGGAAGTTCTTGAAGGGAGAGTAACAGAATGATTATTAAAAGTAATATGAAGATGCCTCCATTGTCCTAAGTGCTGTATAACCACCTATTATCATAGAATCATAGAAAATGAGGGTTGGAAGGGACCTCAGCAGGCCATCTAGTCCAACCTCCTTCTCAAAGCAGGACCATACCCTATTAGATCATCCCAGCCAAGGCTTTGCCTACCTGGGTCTTAAACACCTCCAAGGATGGAGATTCTACCACCTCTCTGGGTAACTTGTTCCAGTGCTTTACTTCCCCTCTAGAGAGAAAGTTTTTCCTAGTACCTACTCTACACTCCCCTTGTTGCAACTTGAGACCATTGCTTCTTGTTCTGTCCTCTGTCACCACTGAGAAGAGTCTAGTTCAGTGGTTTCTGACCTATGGTCTGTGGACCACTAGGGGTCTACAGACTGTCTAAGGGGTCCATGATCAATCAAAAGTATGTGACTACCCACACTCACAACTCAAAAGGGGTCTGCACCTCCATTTGAAGGCTTGTGCAAATTAGGG